CCATCTGTTTAATACTCAGTTTTAGGGTTGATGAAGATCTTTCGTGCCGAACACCAGAGTCTTCTTTCTGAAGCTGAGCGGGTTTAAGAAGGTCGTTTCCTTGGAAACTCTCTAAGGATGTTATAGCAGACGAAGTCTGCTATAACATTGTTTACCCCAGAAATTAGTTCTAGATTTGAAACAAACTGCGAAGTGTGGTCCGGTTGTCGAGACTCTCGAGGAGAGTATGTGGTGGCATTGGACCCTAACCACACAATCCTCAAAGCTGAACACGAAATAACTGGAAAAAATATGTATTCAACATTTGACGTCGAGAGAAGACCTACAATGAAGAATGCGGGAAGCAGTAATTAATTCAATTTATCTGATGGCTCAGCCTCGCAAGCGTGGCCATTCTTGTGTACCTTATCTCTTTCACTCATATTAAACGTATTGTTTTATCTCCGGTCCAAATGTGTTCTCAATCATACTTTGGTAATTGTTACAATATGATGAGTCAGTGTAGAAAATGATGTGACTTCCGCGTAAGGTCTTATAGATTAGACAGTTACATCACAACTAGTCTACAATTATAAAAATAGGTCTACTATTAGAGCAGTACTAATAATGAAGTAGATCCTAGTTCTACAAGTATTTTTCTGAAGATCATAAAAAGAAGGTAAGAGGTTTGTGATTGGTGAAAGCAGTGAATACTCTGCCTTCAACAGAGTATTGAAAGTGTCGTACAGTAGAATCCATAGCTCGGAATTCCCTACCGAATGTGCTCCTCCGACTCAATGTCTAGCAGCCGTCTCGAGAAGAATGCCAGGGGTTACCAGGTGTGGTTGACCTATTTTTTAAGATCTCGTGGATCGCTCAATGGGATGCGTCTACTGTGACAGTAATGGGCGCTTCAGTGTCCTGAAGTGAGAGCAGTGCTAGTTTAGCGATAATTTCATAACTGTAAATAATTTTTTGTGATATCGTCCAAATTGATGGATTTCGCAATCCCACGAAACTGGTTGGTTGAAAATCCCATAAGAGACGCACGATGCGGTATAGGCCGTCTATAGAAACTTATGTGGCTATTAAACGCGCGTAATTGCTCAATGGTGGTTGGTTCTAAGTAATCTAGAATGGCCGCCACATTGCTTCCGAGGAATCGTATGCCTTGAGCATCAACAGTGTGTCCGGAGAAATCTACGGAGTCAGTTCCGATTTGACATTTCTGAATGTTGACAATAATGCTGTGCTTTTGTAGTCGTTCGAAAAAAAGGTTCAGATGCTGGAGATGAGATCCTCTGTCTAGACTTGTGATGAAGCAGTCATCAACAATAGCATGTACGAAGTTGAAACCTCGAAAAATGTCATCGATTATTCACTGAAAAGTTTGTGCAGCATTTCCAAAGCCGAAAGACATGCATGCAAAACCGTATGGTGCGATGATAGTGGTTTTAGGAACGTCTTCAGCATGCTTTAATCAAGTTGATTTTCGGAAAAACAGTTCTACTTTTCAAGTTAGCTGACAATCCGTGAGTATGAGGTAACAGGTATAGTTTTCGTATTCAATCGCGAATGGTTACCAGTCGTTGCTGTCCTTTAAACAGGGAGAGGCCCATGGACATGTTGATGGCGGAATGATTCTTAAGTCTATTATATGGTCGAATAAGTTCTAAGCCAACCCCAATTTTTCGGGGGGCTGCCGGCGTGCTTTCGAGAATATAGACGGTTCTCCAGTCGTGACGTGATGTATAATATTGCTGGTTACACATGGCAATATTGGTTGCGTTCGATACGTCTCACGGTATTTATCTAGTATTTGTTGTTAGCATGGATCGACCATGTATTTAACTGTGACTAGTGATAATTTACGACCGGGTAAAAAATTACACATACTATTGATTTTGTACTTCCATCTACTACCCTCCGTTTGTTTGTGTAGATGAGCGAATTATGATGTTGTAGATAGATCTATGGTAACACGTCAGATTATGACAGAGTTAGATGACGTCATTTGATGTTTTATTTTTAATTAATAAACCTCGCATTAGAAGTTTTGGTGATCTCAAGAATGCAGTCGGTAGTTGCAGGCAGCTCATCTACAGCGTTGTTTCGAAGAGGCAAGCACTGCATGCACCTGTTAAGGAATGCTAGACATGAAAAGTTGCCTAAACAGGCCATTGTCGAAGGTTTGTCGGCTACTGAACTCTCTCATTCGCACAATGTCTGTTGCTGATCCATGTTGTAGATCGATGTTATCGAGGAGTTGACCGGTTAAAATCTGCGTGTAAGAGTAGAACTTTTTAGAGTTTTATAATGTTCCGAAACACCACTAGTGAACATACCAGGTGTGACGCAGTTGTTGGATTCGCACGGTAATCTCTTCAATACAGTGGGGAAATTTGCACGTGAATCGATCGCGCCGTGCTCGTAAAAATCAACTTCTGCGTAGTAGAACGAGGCTTCGATGTTGTTGGGCTAGAATGACATTAGCAAGAATGAGGGTAGCGTAAGAGACATGATCTAAAGTAACTTAGGAGTCTGTCCGGTCACAAAGTAAAGGGAGGTAAAATATCCGAAAATACGGACAAAATCGCAATACTTATAATTAAAGTAATGATAAATAAAGTTCCAAAAAGGAACAGACTCACATATTACAAGCAGATGTGCCAGATCACGTCGAGCTCAGCAATAAGTATGTCACAAGTATTCGGAACTTCACATCTTAACTAGTAACACATCATATAATCGAAACATGCCAAGTCAGTATTATAAAGAACCGTTGAAGTTATGACGAATGTTCGAGAAATTAAGTTTTAAATTATAACTACTTAGCACGTGTTAAATCAGGTTTTGATGACTGTAAGGGATGATGGCAACTTCTGATGAGTTATCGAGTAGTCGTTTGTTGAAGGCGGATGATCACAAGGTATGCTTTGAGAAGCTGTTCTCTGCAAGTGTTATGCACATGATGGGTTCTCCCACCACGATAATGCTTTGAAACTTGAAAATACGGCGAACGAGACTGCTACATTTTTAGGTAACGGGATATCCTCTTTCCTCGCTTGTTAACTCAAGTTCAAATATCAGTTGGACAACTCCATCTCCTTGATGATACCTCCGGTAAATCAACTGAAAATGTGTAAACTAATCGACTAAATATCACTTGTATCATTAGATTTCGTGGACTGAGAACTTGTCACTAGACAAGTTATCCTAAAAAATTAATGATAATGTATGAGCTCTAAACGATTTAACGTGACAAGTTCATCTCGATCGATTTCCTCCTTCATCAGTCGTGCTTAGAATTGGACATCCCTGACAACACGAATGACCCAGTCAAGTGAACGAATCACATGAACTAGGAGATATTAGTGGGTGTTTGATTCATCCTTTATAGCTATGTCCGAAAATCGGTTGACGAAAGTCTAGAGTTAAAAAGTGATAAAACATGTCTCGAGGGAAGTAGTGTTGTGACATAGATCGGAGATAGCATGCATATGTTTCTTTGTTCTTGAGTCTCATGAAAGCCTGAGTATGCAGTAATTGCGAACTCAGTGTGGGAAGTTGCATGATATCCATCATAACCTAATCTGAGAAGCTGATGATTTTCTTTCATGTAATGAAAATTAATAGCTTTTTGGCATCTGGAGTTGTCACGGCTCACGATGTATATTAGAACGATATGCGCACTGTACGATCGCATAGCACAATTAATAGTGGGCCCCTTACGCTGATAAAACATGTTTTATAACAGTATGTATAGAAACCAATGTTTTTTTTGGCAAAAGCCAAGTAACTTTGGCAGGTTCAGTACTCAAACAACAAAACAAGGTTAGTTACTAGTCGAAATGCACCACCACCACTCCGGTTGGTGAGCCTATAATTAGGGGACGGCCTTTAAGAGACGCTAAATGAAACCAGGTATTTTAACCACTTGGAATGCCGTTGGAGATATCTCTAGAGCATGCCGTTCCTCGAATAACAATTTAAGCCCGCCTCATGTTTTTAAATTTGTGTACGTGATGTACCTTAAGTGGCAGAATCATCTATCTCATTACTTATAGATAGCTTGAAAGTCCGGATACCTCTACCGAATGTGACAGATAGGACTGGATGACATGAACATCGCAATGTAAAACTCAAGGTACATCGGTGATTATTAAATTTAAGTTTTAAAAAGAGCATAATAATGGAAATCACTCATGGGGTTTACTAATAATATAGTACAATAAATAGAATGACGCTACGTAAGATTACTGATTATAAAGGTTTAAGTGATAATTAGTAGTGGCACTAGAGCTCTAAAACGGCTGCCTCCAGAAGATTTTAGATGTTATAGACTATTCGTAAGTCATTTTCCATTCAGGATGAAAAAGATGTAGGATATCATACCCGACATATGCTAGGACAAATTTTGGTTGTGATTTAGGAAGCGAATCCGTGACTAAAATATGAAGCAAGTGGACTGAAACGTCACAACCCATTCCCGCTAGCTTACAATAAGTTGCTGATTTACTGACAATGAGCGGTGATTTTGACGTGCTTTGTCTTACTTACAGTTGTAACCGGTTATGAGATTACAATCAAGCAGTTCGAAACCTAACATCAAATGCCCAACATTTGAAGTTTTGTCGTTGTGATCGAGTCTCGGATAATACGGACTTTTACCAGAATACATAGTATCAACACTTGTTAATTGATCATAAATATTTTATTCAGTAGCCCAATATGCTCTCTTGCCCACTCTTGTATTCTCGCTCGAGAAGTCAGATGAGGGATGAGCGCATAGCACATCGTTTATCAGCATCAGATTACGGACAGTACCCGTCATAACAACACTAGGTTTTCTCTACAACTTACCTTGCTAATTTTATCATCTCGCAGTAGTGACGAAACCTACGTGCTTTAGAAAATGTATGGTAGCGTTGGATTCTGCAATCTAATTGATTATCATTACTATCAAGCCTGATTCACACGGTGAATGCTCCACTTAAAAGTGGAATAATAACAATTAAAATGAAACTGACTGATACTAGTATACTGTCAGTTTTTCCTTTTGAATGAACACAAAACACCATGTACAAAATAGATTTAGAAGTTACAGAAAAAGAATTAACAGAAATAACTTTTTTTCTGAAGGGGGTAGTATAACCAGTAAAAATTAAACAGTCAATTGATCAATCACTGTTAACTTAAGAAGAGAGAAGGGAATAAATGGCAAAAAAGAAAGTCATAGATGCTAAATTGTATCTCCTATTTTTTACTCATTACACAGGAATGTAAGTCATAAAAACAGAAATCGCGCTTCGTTTACAAACAGATTCATAGGAAGATTTACATGTATAGTTCAAATATTTAGCCTAAATATATATAGACTACACATTGACATCAAACTAACTCAAAAAGAAACACAAGCATTAAATCGTTTTAATATGAATAAAAATCAGCAATTCAAATCTATACAATACCGAAAGTATCTGGACGATGCTTTGTTATTCTCGCTTAGAATTAATTCAAATGACTAAGCACTAAGCATCAATGAAAATGTGCATAGAAGCTCTGGCAAACAAAAATAAGAAAAAAACAAATATAAAAATGCAGAATAGTGTATAGTGCTACAACATTGAAATGAATTACTTTTATCCCAGAAACAAGAAGTATTAACAAGATGAATGGAAAATAACAGTACTACAATTAAAATATAGTAAGCATAGAGTACTGCGGGATATCCCAGTAGTGCGGATCTATGATCCAAAGTCACTAAGTCTAGCTGCGAACGCTTAACCTTATGAACACTGGAGCGAGATAGGGGACAAGAAGTTTGAGAAGTAGACCATAGTGAAAGCAAGCGCGTGGACTGATTTGTCACTATTTTCAATGTATGAACGAATTCTTGCAGTACGTTTATTAAACATGATGAAATTGTTTTATAAACTAAAATCGCTTTACTATGTAGTTCATATATATAAAGATATGAGATGGTCAAGATATGAGTATAATCCACGCCTTAACATATTACATATATGATTTCAAACAATATAAGGATAAAAACCAATAGTACTTACTCTGACAAACAGTTGAAAATCTTTTAAACTAGATTTTAATGCACTTGTGTAAGATTGAATTAATTCTGGAGATAATTGTTGTCGTGGCAGAAAGTAATCTTTTAAATATGTGTACAATCCATCCTATATAAATTACAGAACAGAATGATCAGATTAGTTTGATCTGATTGATTATCGGATCAAAAACGACAAGTGGAGAATAGGAAATGAATTTCATTTCGGAGCTTGAAAATTTTCCTGACACTAAATAAATAAACATAACACTAGTTGCAATGCAATTTCAAATTCATAATTAAGTACATTTCAAGAGCTGATAGGCTGATATAGTGATTTCATGCTATAGTATTGATGTAAAATGCATCACACTAGACAAGAATAGTGAATTGACTGATGACGCTGTGGATTTTCATCAATTGAGCTGAGTTGAACCACCGCGTAACTCAACGTGAAATTTTGACAAGTGTGGGAGTAGGTTGAGAGAAAGCAAGAGGAAACTAGACCGACACAAGATCAATCTCATTTGAACTGATATATATATATATATATATATATATATATATATATATATATATATATATATATAGGTCCTATATTTTACTTTGTTTATAAGTGACTGACATTTAGGTTAGACACACTTCGCCTACTTCGGATTAGTCACACAGGTAATAATATCATCAACTCTCATAAAGGATAAATATACACAAAAACATGTACTTGGTAAACGGATCGAAGAAATATAGATTGTTATACAGAAAATTAATAAATGCAAACAAGTATCACACAACATTTTTGTAGTCGGAGCATTCGATAAAAACTGCAAATTTATGATTTCATCTATTTTATATCAACAGAAGAAATATAGTAAAACAAAAGAATAAAATATTGTATCTAAGTAAACGCTTATATAGTTTATAGATAGTGTTGTCATTCCATGGTTCTTTATGAAAATAAATGTCATGAGTTCACTTGCAAAATATTAGGTTTTAAATGACACTCAATCGGTTATACACAACGTAAAACCTGGTAGACGTATGCATCCGTGTAAGCTGCCACAACCCACTAGCTTAGCGAAATGAGATCGCTAGGGCAAATCACAGAGTAGTAGAAATAGTGACACAATTAGTGGTAGTGGAAAGAATTAGACGTAGAAGATATGATTAAAAAAAAATAGATTGGTAGTTCTATGTAAAAATAAAGAATGAATGAGTCTACATCAGTGTGGACGATTCTTAGCCATGTCATTCCAAGTATCTCCGGCAATCGGGTGGACCCCCCATCGGATAGTTTGTGTCTACCTTTACAGCTCGATCTAACAGTCGATAAATACATGAACTGATATTACGTTTTGGTTGTACAAAACCTAGCTTTCTTTTAACCTACTCCTACACCAGTGATCACTGAGCGACAGGATACTGTCACTTTCTTGTATATAAAATATCATGTGCAACCTTTGAGTGATCTTCGCAGTCCAGTATTCACAAAATTTACGATAGGTGGGAACTTTATAACTGTACAAAACATCTTATTTCGATTAAGTATAATTAGAAATCTTGTGATGATATTCCAGAAAACACTTATCAAATTAAGAACGCTATACATCAACATAGTATTCAACTTCTGAAATCCTATCCAAATCTGAAAGCAGTTAACTTTCTAAACAGGCAAACAACAGAATTAATTAGAACACTTATCAAGCTCAGTAACAAAACAAGATTGTCACTATAAAAAAAGAAAAACAACTAACTTGTTTTTGATACAAAACATGAAGACTTTCAGCAATTTTATCCAAAGCCAATATGAACTGACCATCAGTCAAGCGAAAGACAGGAGATATCGGACCAAGTATAAAAAATGGAACAAGATGTGGCAACAAAAAATCTTCATAAAATTGTAAATTATGAGCAGCTGATTGTATAAGTTGTAAAAATAATATTACGCCTGAACGTAATCCAGTTGGATCATCAGACTCTAAGCAAGCTTGAACTTGTCCAAGTACTGTAGAAAGATTCTAAAATGTTAAATACAAATGGTACATATAGAGTAAAGAAAATCTTAAAAAAGAACTATGATAATTGTAGTGGAATATTGAAGAGGTATGTGTGTTTCTACATGTATAGATGTCGAGTTTGAAATAGAAGGTGAATTACTGATTATCGTACGAACTATACATGAGATAAGTATCTTCTATCATAATTATAGAAAATGTGCTAAAAGGTGATTTTCAACACTACTTTACATTAACAAGGTTGTTTTCATGGTTAAGGCTTGACAATGTAGCTGACATATGTGAATATAATGAATGTAATGACTTTAAAAAGTGAAGAAGAGCCAAATATTTTAATAATAAAATGGTTGATTGTATTTCAGATTTCCATATTTATGTTTGTTGTATATTGTCAGTCAATCAAATGTAATCGACGTAGAACCCAAATGTGAGCAGAATTTATTACATATATATATACCAAAGGAGTTGAAATAATAATAGTATCAATGAGTGAGAAAAAATATTGACTGAACAATACGATTCAAAAAGGAACCATGAGGTTTATGTGAAGGAATATTTGAATCCAAGATCTACAGTATGATAAAGAATGAATGTCTTTACACCACTATAACCGATTATGGTCAATGTCATTCATCTTCTGGAATCATGTGAACTCCAAGCAGATAGTCTGTACCTATTAACGTAGGGCTCGGTTTAAGTCACTGACTTCATGAACCGATATCATGTCATTTTTGGGAGTCTTAAGTTTATTTAGAGTATTGCAAATTTGTTCTTATCCTGGTATACGAAATTCACCAGTGGTTAGTGTATTTATAAGTTTACTATACTTAATAATCGACTACAGGGTCCTAGACTGGACTATGAATCATAATTAATCTAGAAAAACTAAATTACGTAAAACAGATGACGGACTACAACACAGTTCAAAGTTATCATTCCATGTCACAAACCAAAGTAATGACTTAACAAAATAATCCATGATATAGAATGGATAATAATCATTATATACTATGGTTTATAAACAGAACAACTAACTTGTACAATATTTTCACTAATAAGTTGTGAAAATACATCAGGAACTGATTGATATATAGTTTGAACTAATTGGAGGTATCCGCGGCGTAGTAATTTTTTTTCTTCAATTAATGTTGGATGATTCGGTGGTAATGATTCATTTAACGCATTAATGATAACTTCCATTAAATGCGGTAGACAAGTTGATAAAAATGGAATACTTTGGTTCTATAGAATAAAAAGAAAAAAAGCATCGAAATATAAGAGATAGTGAAGCGCATAAGATAGACAAATTACACTTGCATATGCCCAGTGTATAAAAACACATGAAGTCAAGTTTACAACCAAATATCCACATGACACTGGTCAATATTTTGTGTCATGAAGTTCTTTAAATTAGATGGATGGTTTAATTGAGCAGTTGTTAATATCGTTTTGGATAATATCACCAGAGTTTACTTCATTCAGAAGTGAGCATCTTAGTTACTCCACAAGCGTTTACTTAGTTTATGCTAGTGAGATAACTATACTACTCATTTCTACATAAAGTAAGCGCTGATGATGTTGCCTAGAACGATAATGAAAGGTTCGCAATTAGGCTAAGAAGCTCCGAAAACTTAACAGCACAAAAAGCACTCACTTGAACTGCAAATCTTCTTCGCTGGTTAATTTAATCGATTTCAATAACTATTTTCTATTAATATATGGTACTGAGAAGAATTCTATCTACGCTACGACGAATTACTAACGAACAAACTCAGTTTCATTTAGAAAACACTTATTACGTAAAATTTTACATATTTTATTTGTTAAACCATATATAAAATAAGTTATCCATAAGGTTACTACGGAATTTGTTTAGTATTATACTAATAACGGATTTTTGAGAACTCTTTATGGCCACCAATCTATCGAATCCTAGGATGTGGAATCGTTTAACGTATAGCAGGAACAGTAAACCTGAGGAATTAGACAACTTTAAAATCAATATAGAGGCAATATTAACTACACCTTAACTGATCAACGAATCTTAACATGCACCGATAGCTGACTAAACACTGTATAATTTGAAGACATCAATTATTATTGCAGAGTTCGAGATTGAAGAATGTTGAGAAAAATAATACGTTATCAAAAACACTGTATGCAAACTCACAGTCGTGTTGGGAGCTTATGACGAATCCTCATTAGAAGTTATGCCAATAATTAGAGTTCTTACAATCACTATTGCTAAACTAAATTTGATTTTGAATGCAGTAACAAAAACAATAGGGTAAATTTTAATGGAAAGCTATGACTTGTGATAAAACCCAAAACAAGTAAGATCAAGATGAGACACCTATCACGCAATCAAGTAATTAAGGGATTTACGTCACTGCTAATAAAAATATGGAGTACAATATCCTAGTTTAACTAGACCTATTTCATAAGTGTAGTAATTTATTGCTGATGAAATATGTTCTTCAACGAACCCTTACGCTTATTAACTTAATACTATTTCTATTCAAAAGATAATAGATCGCAATGATAAACTATTAGGTCGAAAACCGTAGCGTCGTTTTTTGGGAGTATACAAAATAACAGGCAAACAACAACTGAAAGTACCGTCTACTCAATATAGAGGTGAATATCTTAGGGAAATAAAAACATAATACGCAAGTATTAATTTTATACAGTAGTCAACAGGCTTCTCAAAGTTTGGGGCCTATAGTTATTATATAACATGCAAACAATAAGTCTGATGAGTGTCACATCTAAGTTTTATTAAGGTTACTACTTACACAATATGTATTTTTCAATTGTCTATGCTTTAAACTAAGTTTATCTTTGCGGTGAATATTTTTATGTACAAAATCTGTCATTCTATAGTGGTAAAAGAAACATCTACTCTGTTAATCAGTTTATTTGAAGGTTTGTGTCAAGAATCCAGTCTAGTGACTAATTTATCCGTATTATATCAATGTACATCTATCGACCAGGATTCTGTGTATCATGACAGTAATTAAAATGTGTTCACAACATACTGAAAATTTCCTTAAAAATAAGTGTCAACAGTGAAAAAAAATCGATTGTTTAAAATGTGAATTAAATTGGACCAAAGTGTAAATCAAGTTAGAACACATTAGAATATATCAAAACAAAATGTTCTCAATGTACCATAATCTAAGCGATGCCTACAAAATCCAGTATTATTTATTTTAACACATAGATATTGGTACAATGAGGCACCAAACAGATATGCGCCACATAAATCATTCGATTTGTGTGAGGGCTGTGATACTACCTGGGTGCCCAAACCGAAACAGGTGGTTCTCTTAGGGGACCACACCCGAGCCTTTGACCTTAAGGTCTGACCCACAAGGCAGTGGAGCATCGTGAGGAGATGCAGTCCCATGGTAGCCGGTGACCAACGATTGGTTCATACTCCATTTGTTCCGGCAGGATACTAGAGCCCATGTGCACCATTGGTTTGGGATCCGGTTAAAGCGCCGGACATTCGCTTTTCGTCCTCTCAATTTCGTAAACAACACCCCCGCCACGAGAAGGCAGTGAGTAGGACTTCCCTGGCAGAGGCTGTATACGCGTGGCCGTGTGAGAGCATTTCGAGAGGGAGGGAGGGCCCACCCCACTATCGGCCATACCAGTACTATTCAGAGAAAAAAGGCAGAAAAATTGAACGCCTTTGTTCATGTAATAATGAAGCAAAGGTGGATTGTAGTTAGCAGTGAAATCTACGATTTATAATTTGCCCCATTTGGAATTTATCATCTGGATATACCTAAATCCCAATGTTTGTGATCATACTGAGATTTGAACTTAACACTTATCGCTTTATAAACGTACATTTAGCCACAATGGAACTTACTTAATACCTGTAACTAAGTAGCAATATCGAAGCAATTCATTCAGAATTGATATATGCCAAAATATATTGACCAACCGTAGGCTTTAACATCAATAACAGAGAAACAAAAATCCCTTACAATCAGAAGTTACAAACAATGATACAACAAAATCATTGGTAATAGTGCAAATTCAATCAAAATTGAGTTTACAAATTCGTTTACAATAACATATCATAGTGTGTTTAGATTAATAAAATATACTAGTTGTTCTATAATAATAATTGCAAAACCACGGAAATAACTCAAATTTTAGAATTAATGTTCACAATTAATTAGACTTATAGTTAGTTTTACCGACCATCTATTTAGTCGAATCACGACATAGATCATTACGAAACATGATATTTGTACACGGTTAGTCAGTTGAAAAACTGGTAAAGAATGAGACAATATAATTGAAGAAAAAAACACTCATAGCATGTTAATCAAAAGAGAAATTGAAAAATGTTTGCAAAACAATTGTGACTAGTTTATACCTTATATCTCAGTACTACTTGTGTAACAAGAGGGATTACATCTCTGATTTCTTTCCAACGTTGTTCGGCGTCGACTATATCTAACACTTGATTGGCAGTAGTATAACAAGCGACTGTAGACTGTAACGGTCTTACCAACTTGGGAACAGCGTCTACAAGCGCAACCAATAAAATATCCGATGTCAAAGTACTTCTGCATCCAATCGAGTTAGATTCATTTGTTGGTACAATACAAGCAACCATTCGATGCAAGAATGCACGAACACCGGCGCATGCAGCTTGTCGACCGGGACTAGCAGCTTCTGTAGGGAAACGCGACAATTCTGAAATTATGAGGTGCATTGCATCAATTAACACAGCTTCACATCCAGAGGTCATAACAGACTTTGGTTGAGAAAATACTCGAGTCGTTTTTCTAAACAATAAATTAACATAAATGAAACAGGAACAAATAATAACACATAAAAAAACATGAAAAGGAATATAAGTGATATACTTTAGTGATTATCTGTTTCTTAGCTTCCTTGGTGAAATATTTGCCTAAATATTTTCAGATGAAATAAACCATGCAATTGATTAAGAAATAACATAATTGTTAATTAATCGTAATGATATAATATCTGTTTTACAATATTGTGTAGATCGATCAATTACGGAATAACCTTCACGAACTGACACAAGTTTCAATAACATAAAGGCGTATATAAGACTGGTTAGTGGATTAATGATCTACTAAACGTATGGATGTCGGTGAAATTTACAGTAGAATTTAGTAATTTAATTTGTATTTGTAATTTACTATGATTAGGGTTAGCGACTGTAATTGACTGTAAAATAAAGGATAAGTTCCAATGAAATATTTATGGATTTCAACAAAAGAATAGGAGACTAGAATGCAATTGTAGAGTGTGAACTTAATGCTCAATTAGGTAAACTAAAACATTTGGAAGGAACTCCCAACGTTTTAGTTCAGCAAGCAAAGAGTGGTAAACACCTATTGTAACCATGCCCATGAAACTACTTATTCTTAACAAAGACCAAATTTAAGCAGAAAAAGAGATATTATTTAGTCTCCCTACCTCGACATCGACCAAACAATGAGATAAATATACTGAATACTTTTGCGATCAACGGTTGGAGTCGTTCAATAGAAGACTACAGAGTCTTTTTTACAGGTCACGCGGAATCAAAACTGTATGACTTCAAATGAATTTTTGGAGATAAAATTGCCTAATGTATCTCAAATGAGCTTAGTCGAGCCATGAAGAGAATATCCGAACAGCTTTAGACACATTAATGATATATACTAGTAACTAAAACCAAAACGTCGAAAGACTAATATATCTCATGAGAAACTCGTACCAAGAGGCTTCGAACAAGACGAAAGGCAAAACAACTTACATAGAAAAAAATGAAAAGTCTATACAATGATCGTAACAAGTGGTGAGTAACAACAAAAAATAGATAAACGAGCAGAAGAGATAAGTAACACGAGACAGCTGCTGATGGTCATGTCAGTGTCGTAAAAAAGTGAAAAACTCAATAAAAAGTACAGATTGGTAAAATAAATTGCAACCTATGCATCACATGTAAAGGCTAGTGATATTGCCTAGCTGCCCGGAATGAAGTCACTGAAGTGGTTAGAACCTGAGACACAGTGGCTGGAAGTCAAATGCTTTAGTCAAACTAAACCACCGCTTCAGTACACCTTGCAAATTGTATTATTATATATAAAGGAGACTTACGTAATAAGATCAGTAACTTGTTTCACTAAAATTCCACGAACCTCAGCTACTTTCGGATTCTGTTCAGTAACATACTTTGTCACAAACTGATCATACTGAATCATAACAGGAGTAAGTAAAACACGGAATAATTCTCCGACGCGATCTTCTCCGTTGTTATTACTGTTATCTGAGTTAGACAGTTGGATACCACCTGCAGCGATAAGTTGCGCAGCTGCTTCATAAAGGAAACCTTGTTCAGTAATACCCAAGCCTGTTTTAACAGATTTTCCAAAATTCGATGTATTTCCATTGGCAAAACCAACATTTCCATTTAGTTCACCATTTACAACACTAGAATCTGGTTCTAATGACAATTCTAATAAGTCGGAGAAACGTGAAAGATATTCTTCGGTATGTGGAAGAAGAGTTTTTCTATATTTATAAGAAAAACAATAAATAAATCTAATGTTAGGTAGAATAGAAACAGTAAATTATCGACACGCAATAACAAAAGGTTATTTTTAAACGTTGTTACAGTGATAATAATGATAAAAACTAATTTTACTTATGCACCAGGTTAATGTATTTAACTATACTATTTGCATATGACGGCTGGTGATATTGCGATTCGACTGTCTAAACCAAAACTAGATGAGGGCTCGAGCCAGCGACCTATAGGCTGAAAGTCAACTGTGTTCATCTCCAAGTTATCGAGTTTTAATAAAATATAAAAAACTACAGTACGATCTGACAGGGATTTCAAATCAATGAGAAATATTATTAGGTTTTCAGCATAAAACCTTAAAAAATTTGGGAAATGAGAGGTTTCCAGCTTATGAAGTGGTGTAAAAAGATAGTTTTTGGATTAACGGTTATTAGCTTCAGTACAACTTCACTCTCTTGTATGAAATTTTAAACATTGTGCGATTCAGTAGCTTGAGATTTCACCAAAAGAGTTTAAAAAGTGAAAACTGGCAATTATATTGCTCTAGCTTTCTCTAGAAATAGTAGGAAAACAAGGTAACTGAAGGGAAACCAACTTGAATAAATTTCTAATTCAAATATAATGCTTAGCATCATGCAACTTTTCAGCAGCCCTTTGTACCTCATGAATTTTTTTTGTTATACTTGATGTATTTCCTGTTGCCCTATTGTATAAAGCTGTTTTTATGTAAAATAAATAAATAAAGATAAGTTATCCTACAATTTGTGCATTTTAATCCGTTAATCACTCTCTTAGAATAGTTAAAATCATTCAGACTAATATTCACTCACATCATTAGGTTGAGATAACAATAGTAATAAATGTCGAATGAGGCCATTTTGATCATTTTGTTTTGTTAAAAGAAATATTATCGTTATTCACTTGTTATTGTTTTATTTGAATCTTCCCATTGATGTTTTAGGACTGAAATTGATCAGTCTCTTATTGGCATATGTGCATACTGTGCGTATGCCTCGATATTGCCTTAATTTACAAGCATTATAAGCAAAGATGGATAGTGCCTGACAGTGGAATCCAGGCCGCGCGTTTCGTCCTGTTTGGGACTCGTCAGCTGGATGTACCTGCATCTCAGAGTTGATGTTTACTGTGGGAGTCCAACTCAGTACCGTTCGCTTCAAACGCCATCGCGTTATCCACTTAGCTACTGAGTCCTGATAGCCACTTGCTTGTGCAATGGGGTGAAGTTTAATTCACTTGGTATTGTTTTACTTGAATTTTCCCATTGATGTTTTAGGACTGAAATTGATCAGTCCCTTACTGAGTTCGAGTCCCAGAGTGAACATCAACTCTGAGATGCAGGTTCATCCAGCTGACGAGTCCCAAACAGGACGAAACGCGCATTCTGGATTCCACTGCTAGCCACTTTCCATCTTTGCTGATAATTATCGTTATTGTTTAAACACTGAAATTATAGAACTTAACACAAGTACCAGTTATGTTAACACTTGATTTAGTTTGATATGTTATGAAGCTCAACCAAAAGGTAAATATGTGAGGTTTGACCATTAAAATGTGACTCTAAAGACATTCAGTTTCGTTATTACGGCGTACTGTTGTGTCACTATTTTAAGGAAACTACTACAGAAATATGATCATCCCATTATTATCGAAGGAGGTTAAATTGTAATTAGAGAAGAATTTCATGATAATAAACAATAATCTAGAACTGTGAGCACCCACTGAACAGTTATAAAAGACTTAGAACCTAGCATATATGTTCATCGGTGGGAGTTGCTGAACGATATGAACATAGTTGAATGAGATTATCACGACAAACGTTAAAGTAATAGAATTAGTAACAGTACAAGCGATGGTAAAAAGGATTATGAATACAGAAAACGATTGTCGAAGAATATTATGAAAAAATCAATAATTCTGGTACCCAAGATCACATCGAAGACAATGAATCAATGAATCTACTTCATTGTGACTAATTATGAACCATGTCACCCAAAGTTTCTAACGATTGATCGTGATTATCACATATACTAACATGGTTTATTTCAACAATCAATGAATTTATTGTAAGATACAATATTTTGGGTTGTCCGCCTAGTTATATATTTTATCGGAATGGGGTTGTGGAGATTGTTAAGTTTTTTGATTGAGATCATGAATCTATCAATGTTAAACCACCACTGAAAACCTGGAATCACTGGACGGCTGTTTCGTCCTAATATGGGACACTTTAGCAGTGTACATCCATGAACCCGAACGCGGGAATCGAGCCTAGGACATTCGGTCTTACGCGTGAACGCTTAAACTATAGATCAATGAGCCGGCATCCAGCGGTGTTAATGTCTAACTTCAAGCAACCCACGAAATCGCACGATTATCTTCCATTGTCTGAAGTAGATATCTGTATCTACCTGACACGGATTAGCTTCACTGGCACGGCTTCTAATTAGAACTCCGAGAATTTCATCACGAAGCTAGTCACTAATGAGCATATGGTAATTATTAGTTTGGGGTTGTGGAGATTTTTAAGATCTTGATTGAGATCATGAACCAATCGATGTTTCTCCAAAATTACATTTTAAAATCTGTTATAGGTTGGAGGAGGTGAGAGAAACAATCAAGATACACTTTGTCAATGAACAATTAATGAATAATTTCGATTCGTTTATCGACAAACAGGAGAAATTAGGAGACAGAACAAAAAGTTCACTGTTAACATTATTTTTTAAAAAAAGTAAATTATATCGGGATGAAAGAAAATACGGGCGAAAATTCTGATAACTGATTATCAAACATTCTTCATGAAATATACTTACTTGTGTGACTTTATAATGCGATTAATTAAATAAGCGCAGCGAATTTTAACACTATGCCATGAACTATGCAAACCTCGATCATCAACAAATGCGAGCTAAATTGAATTTAAATGAAAAAAAGAAACATTTTTTTATCGAAACCATACATGGGTTATCTCTTTGTTTGTTGCTTCAAATGAATGTTACATTATCGGTCAACATAGGGAAGAACTTAAAATTTCTGTTATTATGACTGCGAATGCATGCTTACTTACTTACTTACTTCCGCCTGTTACTCCCAATGGAGCATAGGCCGCTGACCAGCATTCTCCAACCCACTCTGTCCTGGGCCTTCTTTTCTAGTTCCATCCAATTCTTGTTCATTTTTCTCATGTCTATCTCCATTTCTCGGCGTAATGTGTTCTTTGGTCTTCCTCTTTTCCTTTGGCCTTCAGGATTCCATGTGAGGGCTTGTCTTGTGACGCAGTTGGGTGCTTTCCTCAATGTGTGTCCTATCCACTTCCAGCGCTTCTTCCTGATTTCTTCCTCCACTGGGATCTGGTTTGTTCTCTCCCACAGTAGGTTGTTGCTAATAGTGTCCGGCCAATGGATCTGAAGTATTTTGCGTAGACAATTGTTAATAAACACCTGTATTTTCTGGATGATGGCTTTCGTAGTTCTCTAGGTTCCCCCCCCCATACAGTAGAACTGTCTTGATATTTGTATTGAAAATCCTGACCTTGGTGTTGGTTGACAGTTGCTTTGAGTTCCAGATGTTCCTCAGTTGTAAATATGCTGCTCTTGCTTTGCCGTTTCGCGCCTTCACATCTGCATCCGATCCACCCTGTTCATCAATGATGCTGCCCAAATACGTAAAGGTTTTTACATCTTCCAAATCTTCTCCGTCAATTGTGATTGGATTGGTGCATGCTGTGTTGTATCGGAGAATCCTGCTTTTCCCTTTGTGTATGTTGAGACCTACTGCTGCTGAGGCTGCTGCCACACTGTTCGTCTTCTCCTGCATCTGTTGTTGCGTTTGGGATAGAAGGGCCAGATCGTCTGCGAAGTCTAGATCATCCAACTGCATCTTAGATGTCCATTGTATCCCGCGTTTCCTTTCAGACGTTGACGTCTTCATGATCCAGTCGATCACCAGGAGAAAGAGAAAGGGTGAGAGTAAGCAACCTTGCCTGACACCGGTCTTCACTTCGAACGACTTTGTCAACTGTCCTCCATGCACAATTTTGCAGTGTAATCCATCATATGAGTTCTGTATGATATTAACTATCTTCTGAGGCACGCCGTAGTGTCGAAGAAGTTTCCATAGTGTTGTTCTGTCCACGCTGTCAAATGCCTTTTCGTAGTCAATGAAGTTGATGTAGAGTGATGAATTCCATTCAATTGATTGTTCCACAATGATCCGTAGAGTTGCGATTTGGTCTGTACACGATCTATCCTTACGGAATCCTGCCTGTTGGTCACGAAGTTGGGCGTCTACGCAGTCCTTCATCCTGTCTAACAATACCCTGTTGAAGACCTTTCCCGGTATTGAGAGAAGAGTGATGCCCCTGTAGTTATCACAATTGCTGAGATCGCCTTTCTTTGGTATTTTGATCAGAAGTCCTTCTTTCCAGTCTGTTGGTACTTGTTCCTCATCCCAAATCTTATTGAAGAGAATGTGGAGTATCCTTGCAGCTGCCGCTACGTCTGCCTTTGGTGCCTCTGCTGGGATGTTGTCTGGTCCTGCTGCTTTGCCACTCTTGATTTGTCTGATGGCCATGCTGATTTCTTCAATTGTTGGTGGGCCAACATTGATTGGGAGGTCCGTGGGTGCTGCTTCGATGTTGGGTGGGTTCAGTGGAGCTGGTCGATTCAAGAGTTGCGAATGCATGCACCAAACGTAAATTCATTATTCTCTAGAAGGTTAATATTTTTATTAGTAATTGAAGGTTGTAGTAAACCCATTCAACTACTGTATCATTTATCTGCTCACTGTAATTTAGATTACTTGATTAACACTCATAAATATATATGTGGATTTTTAACACTCACTCACACACACAGTCTTGGTTTCCCTGTGTGCTTGCTTGTTATACACTTACGGATTTTACCAATCTATAACTGATATTCGGGCTTTTGAATAACCTCTAGTAAATTCACAATTCTACTAGGAGATTTAGCGAGTATTAAATACTCAGTCAACGGGATATCATTTATTGGAGTCAGATATAGGGGGAATTAGCCTCTGCAAGGTGATATATTTAATAGGACAGGTCAGTCAGTCATATGTGAATGTAGAACTTGGTATTTATGTGCAACAGGTGAATTTTCCACACTACATCAGCATAGCGAGATGTCAGAGTAGAATTGGTATTAATAGTTTTGATGGTAGTAAAAATGATTAGGGAAAATAGACATAACCGGAGAAACACATGGATTAATGGAATAAAGATTTTAAAATTACAGAACTTATGAGCTAAGAGAGGACAATGAGTTAATACACCCGCGTCACAGCGAATGATTGCAAGTCATATTACTGAATGTCTGTAAACGATCGCTACGATAATCGTGAGGACCAAAATCAGATATTTTACACCTACCTTCTAACATGGATCAGTCCGACTTTCAATGAATCATAGGGCGAAGCTAGATTTTGTTTTAGGCACTCCTACCTTTCTTTAAATGCAAATAAACACCAGCCTATGGTGCGCGTAGAGGTGGACAGTACCTGAGTGGGTATGAGTAATACTTGTGTCAAATACCTCAGCTGATGAAGATTCACTACCATATCAACCGATTCACCATGGTTATTTAGCGCCCTGCACCTAGCCTACGCTACAAACAACGTAAATCTCCGAAACCATGCTACGTTTTCTAAATTCGTACCAAGATCTCATCAGACACTAATGCATAAGAATTGACGGGATTGCCAAGTTAAACGAAGCAATAAACGAACTCAAAAGTAAGTAATTTTCTAATCTGAAGAGTTATTCAGTAGGCTGAAGAATAAATAACAGTTTATATTCTAAGGCAATGTTTAGAATCAGTTATTGATTGAATCCTCACCCGTTAGTCGAACAGTAATGAGTAAAGTCCAACTCTAAATATGATTAGCAGTAACTCGCACTATAGGCTTCATTAAGAGTAGTTTACCCCATGTAGTAGAAAAACCATAGCATGTGTGATTATTAGCGATTATGTAGTAATTCTTTTTTACAATAACGGAATATTTTTATTAGCTTAAAAGTCGTTTTCGAAACTAGTTTACATAAACGCATACAAATATCATCTGTATATTTACATCTCGTGAACATTATCCAGCCAATTAGGGGAGCTTACATGAATTTAATCTAATCGAATGTAATCAATTATTCACCAAGCCTATATATGATGTATCCAGATTAAAAGAAAGATAGAAACTGAATCTGTCTATATCCATGTTAACGGTTCTGAGATATACGACACATGAGATTAACAATACATAGACCATTGTGACAATTAAATCCTTGGCGACCTGCTTGAACATCTGGGCTACCTGTTTCTTGCCATCTAAATATTTCACAAGTTATCTGTTTTTGCTTGTTTGAACACATCATTTTGTCTATTAATCGCACAACCTATTCAGGTGCATTTAAGAAAAGTTTATAACCTTTCGCCGTACAGGTTATAAAAAAGCCCAATAAGAGATATCATGGTTGCTAGCAAAATGCAGCGACAAGAATGTACATTATTCAGATGTCGATTCCTGGACTGTTAGCTTCTAACTATCGATCACTCAATATTTATCGTCAAGATCGACCAAGAAATAAGAAACGGAAACTTGTTGAAATAATTTGTGCTGAGAATTTTACATTATACCAAAAATATAATATTGAATAAAGCTAATAATAATATTAAAATAAAATGAAAAATTGATAATTGTTAGTGACCGATCACATGTTTACACGCTAAGTTCAGAATTGAGCTTACCGTGTGTTGGTTACACGTATGTCTGCTTGCTGTGGACATGACCCTAAGGCTAAAAGCCTATAGTTTTCGACATATAACAACAAATCTATATTTTTGCACGTAAAATAATAAATACACGGTAATTTCTGAATCTGAAGAGATTACGTCTGTACTAATTTATTAAATATAATTTAACTAGCTAAAACCCATTTAACACTTATTATTTTGTCTATTTATACAATTCTGCACGTTTTCCCGGTCGAAATGTCCAACATTAAGTAATCTTCATTCAAGGTTGGCGTTTTTTCTACACTGGTGTATTGATGTTACAATAAGACGCTTTTGCATTCCTTTGAATGTCATTCTAAATACGATTATGCCCGATAACTTTATCAATCTACTTCAGGGTCTCAATAAAATTTATTCGAGATTTGACTCAAATAAGCTGGGAACAGATTATGTAGCATTGATAACAGCTCACATTATATCAGGTAACTTACTTGAAAGACAATTTTCGCCACATGATTGGGTTGTGCATTATGACAGAAAGTTGTTTAAGGTAGTCTTTTGCAACAAAACTATTGTTTGGTTAATAAAGTCTACATAAACCACCACACCACTAAATGGTCAAAGTTATTGTGACTGCACAAAAAATCTTCACTTAACCAAAATATGATTTAGACAAGTTTCTTGGCAACAAATAAAAATTATAAATACATCACAAAGCATGACTTAATAAAGAAACCATAACAACAAATAACATTGGGGTCTTTAAGACGTGCACTAAAATTAGACGGCATTAAAAAGCAACGTTAATCTAGGTAGATAACAAGAGAAATACAAAAGACGTACCATCACATTCAAAAGGTGTTCAGGTACTAGCGAAAAATAACGTTCATACCGAACCATTATTTCGAAATACTGTAACTGAAGAGTTTCATGTGGTAAACGAGAGAAGGAATCACTGCACAGTATAGACATTATTGATACCATAGTTTCATGTTGAGGAAAACTTTGACAGAAGTGATCATTTTTACTGGCCTGAAAAAGAATTATGTAAAACATTATATGAAACAGATCACATTTGTCATGCATGTGAAAAAACTAATCATATATAAGTATATAAACTTGGTATTCGGTTAGTGGGAAGGCCGTTAGGACCCTTAAACTGAAACAAGATTCGAACTTGCGACTAAATTGTTAAAAAGTCAGTTATACAATGATTAAGTTACTATCCCAACAAGGTGTAGTAGTAAAGTGGAGACCGAATGTGAAATAACTATCTACTGTTTCTTCAATACTACTCGAAGGAAAAACAAGATACCTAGATTTAATTTAGCTATAAAATGAATAATCTAGATGACACAAGATGAACAGTAAACGAGTTAAAACAATAGTAATATTTATGATAGCAAGAAAAACTAAATGTACGGAATATAGTCAAAAAAGGTAAGATAAACTTATGGAATAAAAAGTATGCAACAATACTGGAACTCTGGATCCAATAAAATATAGAAAACGAATCTATCTAAAACACTGAGATAGACTGAGCCATGTTACTCATTTTCAATTACTGGTCATGATCATCGCGTAGATCCAACCAGATAGTTCACATCTATTATTAAAACTTAGTTCAACAGCTGGTGATCCCATGGACAGATGATGTGTCGGTATCGCCTTAAATCTATCCCCACTTTGGTCAACACTGTGCATTGAGGTGGGCGATGGTTGAGAACATGCAATGCATGTTTTACGGTACCATCAACCGTTTCACCACATTTGCTTAGCATCCTACTACTATAAAATAAGCGAGCAATACTCCAAGGACATCTATTAACGGATACAAGAAAGTATGTCATCCAATTCCAAAAGCCACACTTTACATTCATTGAGTTAAACCGAGCAGAGAGATGCACAACATAATCATTCGTTAGTACATATGCACACAACAATAACAGTATATTAAAATAGAAAAAAAAATGAACACCTGATAAACCTACTTTGCAAATTTCTCCAAACAAATAGAATAAATTCAAAGTTACATCAATTTGTTGCACATGTTCCAGAGGAAATGAAGATTTTTCCATACCATTTGAGTTGAGTAAATGATGGGAATGTCTAACCATTTGATGTATAGTATCCAATACAAATCTTTGATCTAACTGTGTGATATTTCCAAATAGTGTGCGTAGTTCATGTCGGTATTCTTCATATTCACTCTGGAAGAACAAGAAGATGCAAGATAAAAGTCAATTACTTAACAAATAACATATTTTTAGCATTAAGTGGTGGTTTGACGGTTAATGCGTTTAACTTTCAGTAGCTAAATCCCATGTTTGAACCTTAGTTCATCTACTTCGATTTAAGCAACACAATAATATCACTAGCCCTCATATTTGGTATGTCTGGAAGTTAACCACACGAATCTGTACCAGATTGGTGAGTTATTAATAATGAGTTATGTACTCGGCTGAGTTATACTGATTATATAAAGGCCTATGATACTATATATATATATATATATATATATATATATATATATATATATATATATATATATATATGAATTAAATAGCCTCTACAATATTAACGTAGCTCATACTTATTACAAACCATCCATGATTGCAATTTTAGATATTTGAGGCTGACAAATAATAGACGGAGTGAAAAAATGACTTTTAATACACAGCCTGCAGTATTGTTCCAAAACTCGCTTTTACACAAAAGATTTTTACCTCATCATCATCTCCTTGATTATCACGAATCGGAAGACACTTCATTTTATCTATACATGCAAATAGAAGACGTTTAACAAAAAACGATCTGATTTCATTTATTTCCAGATGACCAGGTGATGTAGTACTGTTCAACAATAAAGGATTTGTAGAATCCAATGAAGTTGAACTATTACGATTGCGTGAACGACGTCCACCTGGTGATAAAAGATTTTCCGACGGATGATTTACAACGCTTTTCAATAGACCAAGATAAGAACGAAGAAATGGTGTAACCACTTGGCTGATTTGCTGCTCTTTATGTTCAAATAAACGTACAGCAATATTTAATCGGTCTTCCAGGGCTTCTAATGCAATGGGTAAGAATGAATTATTATCTGAATCGGATCGAAACTGATTATTAGCTTGATTTGAACTGTTATTTATCCAAGTTGCTTCATACAAGTTCCTAATAAAACAAAGTTTAAAAAGGAATGGTTCAAATTATTATTATTATTATTATTATTATTATTATTATTATTATTATTATTATTATTATTTACCACATTATTCACCCTCTTTTATACTTGTACGGCGGCTCGTCTTTGGTGGAAATTCGACTGTATCTAAACGTTCTCGAGTCACTGTCCGGTTGAAAATTGAATTCTACCAGCAAATACGAATACTGAAGCACTTTATCTGAAACCACGTGCCTTCAACGTTCGCACACTTATGCAGGTTGGACAACAGACAGGGCTGGCTATGTCTTTAAAAAGTCTTAATATCGACGTGTGTTGTCTATCCGAGACCCGTATTCAAGACTCTGGTGAAGTACTACAAATTCGCTCTCCATCTGTCGCTTCGAAAAGCTTGTTTTACGTGCGCTTATCCGGGGACCCTGTGGCATCTTCGTCTGGTCTTTCTAACGTTGGTATCGCACTAAGCGCTAGAACTGAGGCAGCACTAATCGACTGAATCCCCATTAACAGTCGGTTATGTGCTGTTAGATTGGAAAGTTCCATCAAAGTGAGAAGAAATCGGCATGAGATACGATGTCTTTTCGTCATCTCCGCCTATGCCCCGACAGATTGCAGCCCGGATGCAATCAAGGATGAGTTTTACCACCAGTTATCTGTTCTTCTCCAGAAAGTGCGTTTGACAGATATTGTAGTACTAGCCGGAGACTTGAATGCTCAGGTCGGGCGTCTAGGCACAGAAGAGTCGTTTAGGTGGCCGATGGGAACTCGTTGGTCGCAGATCAGATAACGGGGACCTTCTACTGCAACTTTGCACAGACCACAACCTGTTTTTGGCTAGCACTAACTTTCGGCACAGTCATCGCCGATGTGCCACCTGGTGTCCTCCCTCTGCATCCCAAGCCTGGACTCAGATTGATCACATCCCGATCAGCTACTGCTGGCGTGGTTGTGTACAAGACTGCCGCTTTTTTTAGAGTACCTATCTGGACTCTGATCATGCCTTGGTCTGCGCCAATCTTACCTTACTTTTCAGTGGACAACGAAGTGACCGCCACCAACGGATTGATGTTAGCGAGCTGGTTGCAACTTCTGTTGCTAGTAAGTATCGAACCGAGCTAGCTCCTAGGTTAGCTACCATTCCACCGAAAAGTATGGATGAGCATTGGTTTCAACTGCATGATGCCATGAAAATGGAGAGTAACGTCACTTGTGGGTTCGCGAAACATCCCGCTTATAAGCACTGGGTTTCTTCAGGCTTCTTACAACTCATTGAAGCCCGCCAGTCTACTCTGGGTGACCGTGAGTTTGACAACAGACGAAGAATGTTACGTAAGGAAATTGGGCAAAGCTTGCGTAAGGACCGAGAAGCCTGCTGGTCGAAGCGTGCTAATGAGCTGGAAGCAGCAGCTGTATCTGGTAATTACCGGAAGCTCTCCCAACTCATTCGAGCCACTGGCAGCAAGAAGTCTGGTGTGAGCGAAACAATCTGCGAGGATGATGGGATGCCAATCACTAACATCCATCGACGTCTTGGACGATGGGCAGAATTTTTCGAAAGGCAGTTCAAATGGCCTGATGCTCCGGCAACATCGGTCAGACTGTCCTGCCCTCCGTGGCCGGTGACGACTGATCCACCAAACGAGGAGGAAGTCCGCAAGGAACTCCAACTCTCGAAGCGTTACAAATCACCTGGCCCAGATGACTTACCTCCGGTCAATTTTAAAGATGGTGGTGACTTTCTGACTAAGGAATTGACGATGTTGTTTACAAAGCTTTGGGAACCAGAGAGTGTACCAACGTCATGGAATGAGTCGATATTTGTCCCTATTTTTAAAAAGGGTTCACGTCGTTCCTGTAACAACTATCAGGGGATAAGTCTACTTCCGATTGCGTCCAAGCTATTGACTTCCGTCATACTTCGTAGGTTGTTCAAAACCCGAGAAAGATTGACTCGCGAGGAGCAGGCTGGGTTTCGTTCTGGTCGAGGATGTATTGATCATATCTTCACCCTCCGCCAAATGTTAGAACACAGCCATACTTATCAAAGGCCAACAATCGTAGTATTTCTTGACATCAGGGCTGCCTTCGATTCATTGGATAGGACTGTTCTCTGGGATTGTCTATTGAAGGGTGTGTCTGAGAAGTTTAACATCCTAAAAGCCCTATATACAAACACCTCAGGCAGAGTAAGGGCATACAACCACCTCTCTCCATTGTTCCATTCGAGCAGTGGGGTTAGGCAGGGTTGCCCAATCTCACCATTCTTCTTCAACTTTGCCATCGATGACATTCTGGAAACAGCTCTGATGGATGTAAGTAATGGTGGTGTAGATCTGTTGCCTGGAGAAAGACTTCTCGACCTTGAGTATGCGGATGATATTTTCTTACTGTGCGATAATGCCCAAGGCATGCAATTCGCACTTAATCAGTTGACAATCAGTGTCCATAGATATGATATGTGCTTTGCACCTTCGAAGTGCATAGTACTTCTACAAGATTGGCAGGATTCTAATCCTGTACTCACTCTGGATGGTGAGCAGATAGAAGTAGTCGAGAAGTTCGTGTATCTGGGTAGCTGCATAAGTGCTGGTGGGGGTGTGAGTGATGAGATCAATGCACGTATAGTGAAAACCAGAGTGGTTTATGCTTCTGTTGGTCCTTCACGACTCCCTGGTTGGGGTCCGAGAGATGGTGCTACACAGTGGCTAGAGACGTTATCAGATATGGTTTTGAATAGAAGTCAGTGGCGATCCTGCTGTAACCTTTCACTTTCTTCATAAAAAGTGGTTATGTCTCCCTCAACTGAAAGATTTCTTCTGATTGTACTTTTCCGTTCCCTCATTATTACTACACTACCTTGCACCAATCTCTTCGTTATTGCTCTCTTTTTTTACGCTCCTTACCTTTTTTTCTCTTCGAATTCTCATTGTTTTGTGTGGCGCATATATACTGGCGCTCTCTTGTACCAATATTTATGTATTTAAATAAAATAAAATAAATCGTATTTGTGATTGAAAGCTCTTAAAGAGATGTAAGGGCTAATGATATTGTCCAACTGCCTAGTTAAAATAGATATAGTAGGGTTTGAAGCTTACACCTATTAGTGGATAGCTGGGTGTTTGAACTACGAAGAAAGATAATAAATGGAGTAGGAAGCCAAATATGATATATAGTAAGATAAATACCAAAGGCACCTAAGTTTTTCTTATCTATCTTGAATCATTTCACATAAGATTGTGAAGAAATCGGATTGAAAACAACCAAAAAATAAATTTTATTCTCACTCATGAGATTAATTATTTGTAATCTCTCAATGATTTTAATTGTATTCATTAAGCGACCAATGCAAAAACTAGGTAATTACAGAAAGTGCCGAAGAATGTATCAAACGAGTGCTAGGTTCTAACTGGTTATCAATAAGAATTACTAACGTGATACAACCGTATTCGAGTTCCGAGTTTTAATAGAGGTTTAAACCGATTTAATTGCCAGTTGTATAAAGTATAGATTATCTGATTATCATTCAAACCGCAGTTTAATTACAGTATTCCAATCTGTTAAGTTCTTTTTCATGGCTTCTAAAGATACGTACACATATACTCCACTTGTGGTTGTTTGATATACAGAGAATCATCAAACGTCAACTGAAGTGTCCATCAATACATTTAGTCTATTATTTAGATCAGAACATAAAACATGAACAACCAGTTGCAAAGATTATCAAATTAACACACCCTAAATGCGTGGACAACCTGTAAACGACTCAGCATATCATGATTATGATAATAAGACAAAGATTAATCAAAATAAAACAAATATCAAAATACCTGTACACAGACAATAATTGATTTCCCATTGCATCGATCAAAGTAGCAAATGTAGATAAGGACTCTAATTGATCTTCATTTAAGTTGTCACAAGTGTCGTTAGCTGAATTCATCATGAAATTCGATATATTTGGATCATTAATTAACATAGATCCTAACTGTTCCCAAATACCAGTTAACAACCTTAATTTGTCAATTACTTGCATACCTTTATTTACAAAACCTATTAAATATAAATAAATCCCGCAACGAATGATTGCATTTGCTGAATTATCATCAATTGATAATTGTAATAATCGGCTTAATAATGTAATCCATTCTGTATTAGCCACAAGTGTTAAATCAACCCATGATGCATATAAACCAATGGTATGAAGAATTTTGCGAATCAGACATGCATTCGATTGACATGAATTAAGAAATCGATACTGGAAAAAAAATCATATTGGAGTATGTTAAATTATGGTTATTTTATGCTGAAGCAAATTATTTTACTAAGAAAAGTATGTTTAATATAATACGATAACAATACTGCTCAACGCCAAAAGTGGGAAATCTAGATAAACTACAAGGTATCGTTGACATACTTTTTGAAATGTATTTAGAGTTATTATCACAGGTGAACGGATATTGTTTAGCTTTTCTCATATTAACTGTTAGGGATATCGACCAATATGTGAATGTGAAAAAATTAATCAAGCAGTAAATATTATAGTGCAGTTGTAATTTGGCACATTCAATCCGTAAAGAAGTGAAGTAAACTTTCCCAAAATCCTCATATTTCAAGGTCCATAGGTGGCCAAACAAATACCCCAAAAGTATACCATAATATACAACCATACCGTACAAGTACCAACTTTTCTATACAGTGAATCCACAATTTGAGTGTCATTATGATAACCAATTACATAGAAATGAGTGGTTGATAACACCAATATCAGTGATCTCAACAACAAAATGTGTTATAATACGAATTGCCATGATTACTTCAGAAATAACTGTAATTAAGCCCGTTTTATTCTGGTCTACTTACATAGTTTCGGGGGAATTCCACACGCAAGTTTTTGCTATGGTGCTTACTAACATTTACAAGTCCAAATACACGCATAATTTGTCCATACGCAGGTTTAGTTATTATTAAACATCAGTTTCGTATAACTTCTAAGAAAAACTATACGGAGATAGATTACACATTATTCAGATGAATATATATTTTACCGGTATTGGTTAATTGTATGGTACTGAAGATGATGCACGCTATCGCTTCAAGTAATGTGCTAACAATTTGGCAAGAACTAATTTAGAAGACGTAACAAATTTTCTAACTGAAGTGAATAAATTTGAAAAATTTCTTGATAATGTTAAGGCGGTCGCAAGAATAGTCAAATTTTAATAGAAAGGCTAAAATCTATTCAGAAACGATAACCGTTCGCAAGCTTTCTACCAATTCGATTTTCCGCATGACCTTTGCCCTCTGAATGGCTGTCACGTTTTCTTAGTTCGGTAAATTGCTACATGCTTGGTCATATTCTGCTAATCTAGTAGCGACCTTTTTTTGTACTAATTCCGTTTGAGTTGAATGTCTTACCATAAATATGAAGTTACCTGAAATTTCGTCTTCCTCCGGTCTTAGTCATCGGGTTTGATGTGTTGAGTACAATTAACTGTTGTCATTTCCGAAGAGAACCGAATGTATTAGGGAAGCTCAGTCGTTTTCATTCCTGAATCCGTAACATCGTAGGTCATACTGAACTCCAATAACAAAACAATAGTCACTTTGTTCTATTATGCAGGTTAACCTATAACTGTTTTGTTAATATGATCAATCCGAGTTAAAAGCTGTGAAATATTCAAGTGATTGAACAAGAATCCCACAAAAGAGTACCTGGTAGTAATTTGATTATAATGTGGTTGAGATTCCGTAGAAAGTGAGCTTAAAAAACCAAAACGTAGATTATAACTCACTATCAATTGATAACACGTATGAATCAGTGAGCCAATACATGATTCACGCATTGCATCTTTGAGTTCATTACTTCGTCTGAGTTCCTCGGTGGTTAACTGTACATTTCTTGATATGATATAGCTGTCTAAATCAATAAGAATGTCAAGGAACAGATCGACAGCTACTACATCAGACTTATTTCTCTCACTGAGTTGTCCATCTTCAAAAAATTAAATAACACAAGTTAATATGGAACAGGTATTACAAATATTTCATGAAAATGAAATATGTTGATGATTACGAGTTTGATTATACATGAGTTACAGATTTAATAATCGTTACATCTATGGCAGTTTGAGTAGAAAACCCATGTAGTATGGAGTTACAATAGTTATGATTTAAAAAGCTGAACGTATGCACAATTACTATTTTGCACTGAATAAACTGAGATTTCGTTAAGTAGAATTCTCATACAGGCATTTAGTAAACATTAAACAGAGCGAAGAAATTTTTTGCTAATCAGTATACAATCATGGCTCTAAACTGATTCTCATATTAGATATTATGTAAATAGTCAACAGTTCACCAGAATGTTTTAATTTAATTACAACTAATTAATCTGATTATGACAATCATCTGTAACTACACTTGAAGTAGTGCAGCAAATAACTGCTCTAATCTAGATATTAGTCCGAGAAATATACGGGGAAAGATAATAACCAATCCACAAGAAATCTGGAAAATTCAAAAGGACCAACCTGTTGCTTCAACTAGAATTCCCAAAAGATCGTCAAAAAGGGAAGACCAATGATTTGGATAGTACCGTATAATAGCCAATGTTATTAACTGACCAGCTTTCGCTTCAAAATATTTAGGTTTTCTGATCCCATCAACAGGATTAATGAAATATCTCAACCACTGGCAGGCAAACGTAGCGAATTTCTGTGCTTCATCTGGTCGAACGGGTAAACTAAAATCTCAGAATGAGAAAATCATTTTACTTACTCAGATTTTAAATTCTCCTCAAGTGCTCTGCAACATAGGAAAAAAAGGGCAGATTTTTGGTCCCCCGGGAGTGCATCTACATTTGGGAGGGTCGAATTAGAATTTAACAAAACGGAAGTGCATATTGGCCAACCATCTTCTGAACTGAGGAACTGTATTAACTTCAATACATGCTTTTGACAGTTGTTGTCTTTACCTTGTTGAGCGTTGAAAACGTTACACAGTTCCGCAATATTGAAATCCATTTACTTATTCACATACACTGACAAAAGGCACAATCCGAATCTCAAGTCCGAATAAAAACCATAGGAACCCGGTGCCACCCAAGTACCATAAAGGTGGTTATCTGTTAGGCTAAAAATAATTATTGAAATAAATAAAATTCAAAGACAAGTGAATCTAAAACATGACAATTTTACTATGAGATTGACTAATGACGCATACAGATTTTTTCGGAAAAAGCAAATGTTTTTGACCGAAAAAATACTTGAAAACAATTTATAAATGGTCCCTGCATTTGTCTGATACATAGTTTGAAAGTTTATTAGATAATTTCAATAATATTACCCGACCTTATTCATAACTTGTGGAAAGCTTGTTAAGTTATGAATAGTAAATATGACAGACGCGGTTTACACAAATAAATTATTTTGCTGTAGAATGAACGAGACAAAATGGTCTGGAGGGAGGATCCTGCTTCATTTTTGGGTGCCCAGGCAGTATTCCAGCCCCCATACAAATCGAATGATTAGTGTGGCGCATATATATTTGGCGTCTTGTACCAATGGGTATGTTTAAACAATAATGATAATAATAAATGGAGGACTGGAACAAATTGACTACAACTTGGAAGACGGATTGAGTCCAGAAATACTGAGCATTCAAGACATTGTATCTAAACGTGTACTACGGAGCGATGTTTACCACAAAGTCAACTTGCATAACATTGGGACAACAGAAGCAGTAAATGCAGCGACGTGTTACGAGTGGAAAGGATTAATGTAGTAACATAAAACGTGAAAACAGATAATTAAGATATAGTGACTACACAATATAAACAAAATGTTTAGTTCACAATATTTTTCTTCAATTCGTACAAAGCTCCATCCACATGACTGGTACGGCCGAGAGTGGGGAGAGTCAACTCTCCCTCTCGAAATGCTCTCACATGGTCACGTGCATACAACCACTTCCACTAAGTCCTACTCAATGTCTTCTCTCAATGGTGTTGTTTATAAAACTGAGAGGAAAAGCGAATGCACAGCGCTTTAACCGGGTTGGTGGAAACGGAGTCTACCTAGGGGAATTGAAAAACCCTGATTCCCAAACAATGGTGCGCATGGGCTCCAGGATTCTGAAGGAGTAAGTGGAGTATGGATCAATCGTTGGTCACTGGCTAACATATGACTGCATCTCCTAACGTTGCTCCACTACCTCGTGGGTTAAAGGCTCGGGGTGTGGTCCATAAAAGAACCACGTGCTTCAGTTTGGGCACCCGAACAGTATCTTAGCCCTCACACAAACCGAATGATTAGTGTGGCGAATATCTATTTGGTGCCTTCTTGTACCTATGTTTACGTTTAGATTAAATAAAATAAAACTACCATTTTAACCAAATGTGTCATCCACAAGCCAGTGACAGGATCCGAGTTTCGAACCAGTATGTATATGTATATATACACATAAGTATGAAGGATACTCGATCGTCAAATAATTTATATACTATTAGTGAAAGTACAAAAAGAAAAAACTTGATATTATAAAGCTTACCAAGAATCGTATGGAAAAGACAGATTAGTATTATCTTGATTAGTTAAGTAGACGATCAGTTTTAATAGGCCTAACCAGACGAATTCTGTATTCAATCCTAAAAAAGAAAATAGCAGAAATGAATATTATGCGAGATTTGATCAGAGACCTACATGCACAAAAATGTGTCACGACTAGTATAAAATTATCGTTGTCAAATTTCACTCACTTATCCAAACTCTACAAATCAAATCAAGCCTAAGGAATCAAAATTTCCTGAGAACACAGGTAGATTAGCAGTTAACAGTTTGGTATCCAAAAAACCTAAGTATTTGATAATGAAGGTTGGGACGCCCATCATACTGCACAGAACTTGTACTGTTGCTCCATGAAAAACAACTATCCGGCATAACACGTATTTCTGAACATCTGACTTATATTTTATTACTCACAAACACATACTGATTAAACCCAGTAGCTGATGCATAACCAAATAATTGGTGACAAGCAAAATGGAAGTTTATTTCTAAAAATGTGTACGAATTGAATCGGAAACACTAATTTAAAACGATATATAGAGGACTAGCACGACTACAAGTGAATAAACATACAAACATGTGGTCAGTGGAGCACCGCACAAACACCACGAGAACGTTAACCTAGAAAGCGCGCTACTTTCAATATCCAATGCCTGATGCCAAGAATAAAAATAAAATCCCACTTATATTTCACCTAATTTAAGTACACTTTCAAGCTTTATATTAGACTTACGAAAGTCGTACTCTGTTCTGTAAGCTGCCACTAGAGATACTGATTTAGATTCAACTGACTATTGTGTCAGGAAGGTTTATGTATCTTATTGAGATGGTATGTTCGATTCAGTGATCTCGTTTATGTCCGCATGTCTTGCACACCTGACATCTGTGCTTCTTAAAGAGGAAGAATCCTACACAAAGACACTCACCAAGTAGTTAGTAGACAAGTAGTTAGTTTGTCTTGAATTGTTTCTGGTGTTTACGACTTCTTGAGTTTTAACATAGTAATAGCATTCAGACTATTAAAGGTTACGTTCAAATTAACCCACTCATTCAACCCATTGTCATGTCTGATGCTTTGTAGCCGTTTACACTCAAATGTCAATTTCCTGAGTGTGACGTCTGAATCTTGATCAAGTCGAGTTAAAGGTCCAGTCCCAATCTCAGTATCATGTAGTGACTGGAGAGCTTTGATAAATGTTAGGCATTTAAATTGGTCTTCTATTAGGGAATGTAACTTGGACAGTTCACACTTTTAGTTGACGGCATCTGGTAGAGTACAATAACTATCGGCTTCCCGTTTCACCACATTTAGACACTGGTATCTAATACTAAACAATGAAGATGATTCACTGAATACCTCTGGCAGTCGAACTTTGTCGTTGATGTGCTTCCAGAGATGACACTTTCCTCGTCTAAATTTCCAGGGGTTGAATTTTTACCGGGAGATTCACTTGTTGACTTAGAATATGCTGATGTTATAGTTCTTTTCGGTGAAGACGATGACAAAATGCAGAGTCTTCTGACCACTCTGAACAACAATGCAAGCATGTTCGGGATGCGATTCTCTCCCTCGAAATGCAAAATGTTGCTGCAGGATTGGGTTACATCGACACCCGAACTAGTGATAGGGAGTGAAGTAGTTGAGTGTGTCGACCGCTTCACTTATCTTGGAAGTCTCATCAGCCCTTGTGGTCTGGTATGTGACGAAACCTCAGCACGGATACAGAAGGCTCGACTAGCTTTTGCCAAATTGCGTCATTTATGGCGTAGGCGAGATATCCGTCTATCAACCAAAGGACGGGTTTGCTGTACAACAGTTCGTTCCGTCCTACTTTATGGCAGTGAAACATGGCCGGTAAGAGTAGAGGATATCCGTAGGTTACTAGTATTCGATCATAAGTGTCTTCGAAATATTGCTCGTATATTCTGGAACCATCAAGTAAGTAATGCAGTTGTTAGGAAACAGGTACTACGTGAGGATGGCAAATCAATTGATGGAGTAGTGAAACATCATCGGTTGAGATAGCTGGGACACCCGTTACGTATGCCCAACCACCGACTGCCTTGATGTGCGATGTTTTGTTATATAGGAGTAGATTGGAAGAAAGCTAGGGGCGGCCAGATCAAAACATGGCACAAGTCCATGAAGTCACTGACAAGTGGACTGAGTCATGTTGGTAGGTGTAGACTACCTGGTTGGGGACCGCGAGATGATAGCAACCGATGGTTAGAGACCCTGAATGACATGGCTCAAAATCGTTTGCAATGGCGCAGGTGCATCCACTCTTTGTGTTCTCCCAAATTTTGATCTCCTTATTCCTTCCTGTCTCTTTTTTTCCTCTTTCCAAATTTCTTTCACTGTATTATACTCTTTAAATAACATCTCCAAACACTAATTTTCCCGATTACTGCTTATACTCTTATTATATCTACCACTATGGGATTTGAATCGACCACTGCATCTGTGGGTTAATGTGGTGTGGCAACTCGAACTGACGTACGTACGTACCACGTTCTAGGTTGTTGCTGATTGACTTACTGACTGGATTACAGCCTCTTTGAAACTGAGCTCTCGAGGCAAATTCGACAATATGCGGTCAGTGCAGCGTGCATAAT